GAAATCAGTAATCATCTACTATAACGAATAATTCGTTAACGCTATAACGAATTATTCATTATACATACCGCATAATTTGTTATAGCGTTAACGAAGATTCTTATAATGAAGTCCTGATCGGCTAGATCAGCAACTTCGTTATATCGAGGTGTGACTGTATAAAGGTTAAAAAAAATCAATTATATAATGTTAACTATGCTTTTAAAATGTATAAAATTTTTAATAATTTGAGTATAAGAATTAATAATATTGAAAAAAACCTACTATAATAATTTTGTTTTAATTAAGACTTCTATCAAAGCTTTCTAAAATAAATTAATTCAATGTTTTATAATTATTAGAAGAATTTAAAATAATTTAAAGTATCAAACTAATCACATGTAAATTCTTTTAAAAGTTCTTCTAGTAAAAAAAATTAGTCTATTAATTTTTCAATGCTTTTTATTCATATTTAACTAAAATACTTTTTTTAGAATTGAATTTATTACATTTATGAGTATTTATATAATTATTTGAATCTAATTTAAGAAAATTTTCAATCAAATTAAAGAAAAAAGATATAGCCTAGAAGAAATATATCTTTATGTAGTCATAGAAATTTATGAATGAAGTGAAAAATATTAAAAAAGTTACAGTTCAAGAGTTTTATGAGAAAAATATTAAAAAGAAAAATGAGTATATTAATATTTTAAATGATATTAGTTTATAGTTAGATAGCAAACTAAATAATAAGATAATAATGCAGAATAGTAAGATAAAACTGTCATATTATAATTCAGAGGCTAGCATGATTCTTTATTTAAATGTAATTTATTTCAATATCTTTTATTAGTTTTACCACCAAAAAACTTTCGGTAACGTGACTTTTTGGTCCGCATTATGGACACTTGGCCAGAATTAAAAAATTAAATTTGTTAGAAATAACGACGACAGTGACAAATAAATTTAGATCACGTTACCGATGGTTAAATCTCTCACGTGATTTTAGAACATGTGACACGCGACTGATGCGAGTTACGTAAAGTTATATAAATATTTGACATAAAGTAAAATTGATTTTTCCGGCAGATTTTACCCTTTCTATTGTCAAAGATCCTCTATGATTTAATAGAAAAAATACAAGTCAATTATTGAAAGTTTTAAGTTGCTAAAGTTTCGGAGGAATCGGTTATGCACCTTCTCTCTCTCTCTCTCTCTCTCTCTCGTTTATATACTAATGAAAATATTACTACTTAATGAACACTGTCATAACGAAATCTTCTATAATAGAGCAACAAAGATATTGTTAACAATGAAGAGGAACTACATTATAAATCTTGAACATTGGATCCGGAATTCCTCGCTATAAAATAATATTTCATACTTGATGATGAATCGTCATCAAGTCAACTTCTAATACAACTTCTCATAGAAGAAATAGATCAATCGCTAGTTTAATTGATGAAACTATTTCTACTTCTAGGCTTCAACATCTCATAATACTAGAGTTAGATATCAAGGACCTTCAAAACCTTAGAGTCCTTGGAAAATTATCAAGCAACTTCTCAAAATCTTTCAGCAATAAAGCCTAATGTTCAAGCAAAATCTATTGAAATTCAAGATTCACAAAGTTCCATTTCGACCAAAAGAAAATGGTCTTGATCCGATCAGTCAATATTTAGTAGAGAAGAATGGATAAAATTGGAAGTGGATTGGTGTGTGGTTGTAGCCTTAATTGTTTAATTGATAGTATTATTATTAGCAAAACTCATTACTTTTAAAGGAATTGTCAATAGCGGAATAGACGAAAATAAGAAAGGGCTTCTAAAAATGTATGATGACACAATTACTGAGGCAACAGTTAATTATCATGTCAATTTGCCTCAAATTGCTGTCAGTCTTAATAAGAATCCTCTAATCGATACAACCACATATAGTTTTAGCAGAGATTAGCCCTTGAATAGATAAATTGATATATACAAAGCATTGTAAGTAAATAAATTTCGTTACTGCGAACTTATTTGTAATATCTAGATAACGTAGCCTGATACTTGGTAGTATTTTATTGTGCTTTCAACTTCCCATTAATCCACTTCATGATAGAAGCTTATCAGAATACGCATATCGTGACAGAATCATGAATCGTCTTATAGAGGATATTTTCTTGGATGTTAACAATGCTATTAATATGAGAACGTAAGTCACACTTTATTATCTTTATCTCCTATCTCCTGAAAGGATGTTTATAAGATACTAATATAATCCTATTACTGACCAGAGGTGAAATTGAGAATATGGATATAAAGGATCAAAATGACCAACGTGCAATCAGTTGGTCACACGACGCTTCTCCAGCAAATGTATCGAACTTGACCTTCCTCGTGGTCCTGTCTTGACCCTCTTGCCGATCTTATTGTAAAAACAATTGTTATTTATATAGTTTTCGGCAAGAGGTCAACTTGATACCACAAGGAGGGTCAAGTTCAATACTTTGGCCTCCATTTATTAATTATTAAAGCAAATAGCTCTGATCGTACCGTAGGATTCGGGGAGATTGTTGGAAATGCCTGCTATCCATATGGGCTTATTTGACTCCGTGCAATTTTGTCACCAACGTGATAATCTGTGATAACTTGGCCAATAAAAAAATTCGTCACGCCAGAGTCTGATTAAGATTAGATCGTGTTTTACAGCTAACGCGTTATACTTATCTTTATATTTTCTTTTATATTGATGCAGACGCTTAGGTGTTGTCTTTGTCAAGAGGCTTTTTTTTCACGAAAACAACTATTAACTCATGAAAGAACTAAACACCGAAATAATAAAACTATACTACACCTCCATTTACTTCTTCGGCCTTCCTTTGAACAACTTGTATCTTACCAAGATGCCTTTATAATCCTCATTAAAAAACGACTTGGTTTCAACAGACATTCTGTGGGGTCTAAACGGCTTTTAATAAATGTCTTCCCTGAAAATGTCTTTGTTTATTTATTTCAAAGTGAACCTTCCTTTAGATATAATTCAGTGTTATGAAAATATCGTTGCATATTAAAGGTGAAGCGGGAGAACAAAGATTAAAACAAATTTTAAATTATGAACATTGGAGTTGTCGACAGGATCCTAAAACGAAAACAACAGGATATGTATTATTTGTAAACTATGAGGAAAGTTACGAGGTTACGTTTAGTTGGACACAGACCAAATTAATTGAAAATGACCGGATATTTCAGTGTGGTGCAGTCACCTGCACTTTTACAACCGATTTAGGAGAATTTATTCTATGTTTGCCTAATTTTATAATTAAATACTAATTTAATTTTTATTAGAAATGACGAGCAAAAATTACAAGAATCTGAAAGCCATATTGCAACGACCGATACTAAAAATAATGATTAGCCACGATATAGAATTATTTTACCACGCTCTCCTCTTCAACAATTATTCTTAAACCAAAGACATTATAGATAATTTTGTGATGTAAAGAATTGTTCATTGACTTTTAATAAATTTATTTTTCTTTTTCGTTAGAATCAATATTCCTAGCATTAATTTCTTTAAGAGTTTTGTTAATTAAGTAAAACAGTTGTCGATTCTCAAAAGACATAATATTATATACTACTGATTTTTTTTTCAGTTCCTCCACCCATAGTAGTACCGCCAAAAAATAACCGAACCTAATTAAAAAATACATTAGCAAATATATTAAAATTAACTTTTAAATAAATTTATAAGTTACCTGATCGTGATTTTTTTTTCAATGCTAGAGGTAGAAAAAAGTCGTAATGATAAATTTTTCATTTTTAATTGGCGCATAAATTGATGCATGTGTTGTGCGAAAACATGCATATATGGAGTTACATCTTGTTTGCGATATAATCCAGGTTTTTGTGATGTCGAATTGGGACGTCCTTCGGTTGCACAATAGAAGGTACGAATCTATTGTTTAGCATCAATTTCGAGCGCATCAATTTCTTCATCCAAAAGAAAAGGTTTTCTTAAGATTTTGTAAAGCCTAAAAAATTCCTTCCATAATTTTTCAATTTCTTGTCCACGAATACCAGGAATAAACTGAGAAACTGGAAAACATTCCAATACTTTCTTTTTATCAGGACCCATTAAAGAAGTCCAGTACCACTTTCCACCAGTAGATCTAGATTTAAAGAACTCGAAATGAACTTTAATATCTTGCATCACTTGTTCAATCTCTGATTTAATTTTTTTTTCAAATTCTTTTTTTTTAATTAGGTCATTAAAGAGACATTCCATCAAAACATCAACAATACATAAAAATAGATGTAATTCATCAGGAATATAGTTTTCCTGATTAACTGCTGGAAATAATGCGGGCTTTCTATTTTCACCTAATTATTAAAGTTAAATATTAACATCATTAAGTAATTAAGTAATTGGTATAGAAGTACTTAAATATAACATTACAGGCATGATTTCCTGAATTTTCAAAATTTTGATCCATATCCTAGCGTAACTCTGATTGACAGTCACAGTATAAGCAAAAATTCTTCGAATTAGGAGCATTTAATCCCATTACTATATACATGAACTTCCAATCGCCTGAAAAGTACAATTCTACTGGCTAATATGTTCCTATTTAGCAAGATCATCATATTTTTCTCATCCAACATAAAGACAAATGCTAAAAAAACTTATTAAACTTAATCTAATTTATCAATTATTTAATTAAAAAAAATCTGTTATAAATTACCAATGTTGATTTTCCGGTTTTAAAATTTTATCACCTTCATTTAAAAGGCAAATTGTCATTATTACATGATTTTGTTTACGGCTAACATTGCGATCATCTCCCCCAAGTTTAAGTTTAAGCATATCACCGGGATTAATAATTGATGCTTCTTTCCATATTGGAATTAAAGTTTGTAATATTGTATAAATTGACCTATATGCACTGTTTCCAATTTCCTCCTCACTAACTATTATACTATCAACAGATTCTACATTATTAAACAGATCATTATCACTTTTATTAATATTAAATGTTCCAATTCTGATATCTTTATTAATAAGGTTTGTAATTTTAACTCTTCGATTAGCTATTAAATATTCACATACAAGAAATGCTTTAACTGCTGCAAGTCTTCGACAACTATCACGTATTAGCAATGATTCATCATAAGCCCTAACAATAGCATCTATTTTAACAAGTTCACTTTCATTATCAGGTAACTTGTAGGTTAAAATAATACTTTCTCCGTTAAAATTTAATTTAATTTTACAAATATGAACAATTAGTTGATTTATTTCGTTAATCATTTGATATTTTTTAATTAAAAACCTAATTGCCTTTCTAGATTCCCTGCCTAAGGATGCAAATCTCTTATTTTGCCCTGAGATAGTTTGATATTCATGCAATCGTCTAATATCAAATCCAAAAATGTATACACCTTACAAATTAGAATTTGAGCGATCGTGTTTCTGTATAATTGAGATTAATAAAAAAATTAATATTAAAAAAATACAATTTTTTTAAAAGAAAATTAATAATACCTTTAAAAATGCATTAACAGCACTAGTTGCAGAGCAATCGCTATATACTCCATTCTGATCTATTTTCTTTCCATACTATTGTAAACCTTACTTTTCCATTTGGCTGGTATTTTATTTCACAACAGATCTTTATTTTAGAAACTTTAGTTTCAATACTATAATTGTTAGGTATTTGATATTAAATACAATCTTTAGAATTTTTTTATGTAAACTTGACTGGTGTTGGATAGTACCCTAAAGATATTACTTTATATCAAAAGTAAAAAGAATGGTTTCCTAATATGTACTGTGCTGTTATAAATGGATTTGCAGAATATTGATGTGAAAAAGATCTCATAGAATAATCATCTAAAAAAATATTTTATTGAATGTTTAATATTATATATTTTAAATATTATATTATTATGAGTTTAATAAATATAATTAAAGAAATAAAGTACCGTTTATGAAAACTAGTGTTTTCCTTTGATTACTTCAGTTATTTCTTTGACCTGATCCTAGTATATATGTCATTTTAACATAAAATACATGTAAAAATATTTTATTATTTACAAATAAAACTGACTTGTAGTGAAAAACTTTTTAAACTATTTTTTTTAACTCTTTCAATACTATGAAAACCAATTTAAAACCAATTTACAACTTACAATTGCAGTTATTTTGACAGAATAAGAATTAGTTTTACAAGATAATATCACAGATTTTTACTATGAAATGCTGTTTATATGTATTGTAATATCACATTACATCTGATCTTATCACTCAAATTTACTATATGATCAGACCTAAATTAGCCATATGCATAATAATAAAAAAATGACAGAAGTATATATTTTCCTTATTATAACGAAGTTCTATTATTAACAAAAATATTTCTACTTAATGAATACAACCATTAACCAGATTTTCTATTATATACTAGAGGGACAAAAAAAATAAGAATAGAGGATCAAGAAATAATTATATTGACTTAACTGAATTCAGTGTCAGCTCAGTTTGCACTATTTTTGATATTATTAAGAGATGTAGTTCACTCATAACCGTTTGCATATTACCACTATATTGGAGTGTTAGCATTAATATATTTAGTAGAAATATATGTTCCATTTCTACTACTAGTAAATTTCCTTGCATTCTTAATTATAAGAGGTCTATTGTCTTCACAATATGGACATCATGAAGTCTTTGCCATCAATTTGTAATCTTTAGCACAACATCATAATAAAGATGAATAATTATTAATATACTTGGTTGAAAGTCAAAGCCTATCACATTTTTCAGCAATTGCATAAGCATCATTTATTGTCAATTATTTCATTGTAAATAAATGATATTTTAACAAAAAATTGAAACTTTAATTATCAGATTTTCAGAAGCCATAAATCTTTAAGATCTGATAAGAATGTCTTTTTCTTTTTTATGCTTTTTATATAACTCTATCTTCCTTTACAGGTTTAATAAAGTATCGAATTTCAATCAAATTATAAATAGATCATCATCTGATTTAATTAGATTAAAAATAATAAACTTATTTTTTTGAAGATAGTTATTAATAACTATGAAAGCACTTTTTACATCTTTAGTATATCATTTAATAACCTTAAAAATATCTTAAAAAGAATTTTATCATTAAATATTATTAGATAAAAAATATTTCATGCAGTGAGTAAAATCTATATACATATTAAATTTTTTATGTATATGTTACATAGCATAAAATGTGCATAAATAATTATTAAATTAGATAAATTATATATAAAAAATAGATAATTATTTATAAAAATAGAAATATTATGTAATATATACATTAATTTTCTATTTTTAATATAACTTATATACAAGACTTTTGTTTAAATTTTATATATTGATCTTATGAATAATTATTGATATATATTATATTATATATATATTTAAAATATTCTTATAATGTTTATAAGTAAAATCTTATATAATAAAAAAATACTTGTGTCACCGCTGACCTTT